AGGAATGACACGTAGCTCTAACCTCAGTGTGATCATGTGGTAAAATGTGCACAGGTGTGAATACGAGTCTTGGACTCATGTGAGGCTAGGAATTTCAACTGCAAACATAATGAAGAATACAAGACGCCAAAATGCATAGGGTAAGGTAATATAAAGGATGTTGTGAAGAGAACTAGGAAGTGGTGTTTAAAGCCACGATGGCAGTCTGTGTGTATGCGTTGGCGGACCCGGACACGTGGATGCGTACATGACATGTAATCCACTCTCACAACTGTTAAATTCTCGCAAAAGTATGATGCATTTAAAGTCATCACTTTTGAACTCACGGTATTGTCATTCCAATAGTCATTAGTTAGAAGATTTATCGCATATAACAACTCACAGTAAATGCCATTTTTGTTCAAAAGGATCAATGTAAAGTTCACAAAACATGTTAACCTTGAAAAATATCAACAATCGGTAGGTACTAAGATGTGGAATCGGACTAAAAAAAAAATAGTGCATGCAACCTACAGACATTCCTCAATAATAGTGTCCTCTATTTCGGTTTACTTTTTGAGTATACAAATGTACATTCAATTTTCAGGAGTGGGGCTGCTTAGGTAAACCAAATTTGACGCAACTGCATGGATGCTCACTCACATCCGTCAACAACAGCATGATTGATTCACGTGGGGTTAGCAAACCCTTTTGTGGATGTTTTAATCCCGAACACACAAGGTCACAAGCGAGTCTTCTCTGACACGACTAACGACGAGTCACACAAGGTCGAGTTACTTCAACTGCGCCGGTTGGGCGCTGGTCGATGGATCGGAAGGTCTTGAATGATATTTTTATCATTGCTCCGGTGCACCCCTCAGATTGCCATGTTTTGCTAATTCCCGACAATATATCCTCTCACCGGTGGAGAACACGTATCAGCAACAGTAAGCTACTCTTGTCGATTTCAACCACGATAACCCTGATAGGTTAAAGCGCAAGTTTTCAAAATCGTTTACCGTTTATCACAGTATCCTGTTGCTCGTTTAATCTTGTGCGGGGAATGTTACCGATTATTGCGTAATATTGCAGAAAGTAAAGAAAATCGTGTCAAACAAACTTAACTCTGTCCGTTACGTGATGTTATCATTCAAGCAGAACAGAGAGATGGCAAGTTTTGACTGCATTTCCCGGTATTACTCGTTGAGCATATCAAGATTATTCCCATGTTCTGATTGATCAGTCTGTCATCGCTGTTAGTGTGCTAATAATGACGGGTGAATTTTGCACAGATATACGAAATCGATTAATTGAGCTGGATTCATAGGCTCATTTTGTGACTATAAATACGGAATAATGTTAGAGGATCATTGTTGTCTGTTTGGCCATGCAAATCAGTTGGTAGATAATAGGTGTCATCCTTGTATGGGTTCGAACCCCATCAAGGCTACCGATCTTTTGGAAATTCAAACGTAAACTGAAAATCTGCATCGATAATTTACTTTTTTTAATATTTGATTCAAATAATATGGATAATCTAAATATTACAAGTTCTCAGTAATAAACTAAAATGAAATCTACTATTGTGTTTCTCCCCCTATCACATCATTCTAGAGAATGTACTGCCGAAGGGCGATCAATTCGTTTTGAATGAACACATCCCGGATCCCAACTGGTTTTATCGTTAAAACTCCCCCAAAGGAAATGCCTCCCCCCCACCTTCGAGCGAACACGTCAGACAGTAGTAGACCTACAGCGGATTGAAATCTCCACCCAATTTAAGTCGATGTTATCGAACGCAATGAAACGCTTCTGTTGTGATCATCATTGCACACTACAGTTGGATAAACCCCGTCAACTATTCAACTGATTCATCCCTGTCCAATGAAATAATTTAAAGGTTGAACCTGTAATTTTCTATAACAAATAGTGAATGAATAATTGCAAAATTCGACCAAAGGTACACGACCAGTTTCGCGTTCGCTGTCGCTCATTAAGTAAGCGTATTGGGTAATCCTTTGTTAGACAATCATTTTTGAACCTGTTCGGTCGATGTGAATTAAGCAACACAAACTGGATTTACATCTCAGGAAGTTTATTCGAGATCGACTATGCGCGAAGACTCATTGCGATGTTACTACATCAGGTGGACAGACATACCACGTGTATGGAAAATGCAACAATGTTATTTGTTTTACCAACGAAGGATGCCGGAATTAGAGATGACTGGGTGCAAAAGATTGCATGTAACCGTGCAGGTCAAAATGCAAGCGGAAACAGTTGTGTGCTCAAATTAGATAAACAGAAAAAAAAGTAGTTGGTCATGTACCGATGACAACAGGCAAAATATCACACGGGGAAACGGATTCATATCTTTCAAGTTGCCATAGTTATTCAATGTTTGTTTATCTCTTAAGTAGATTGCAATAAACACGACCAAACCAGAAGGAAGCATTCTGATTGTCGATGGAGTCTGCTTTTTGGGATGATCTGTTTTCCGAACACTCCGTCCTGGAGCTAACGCCTCCACGGAGTGAATAGGTTAGTTAGTTAGTACTGACCAAGTCCGTACCAATGTTACGGAGCACGAGGTTTGCACATACATTTTCATGAAATAGGGTATCCAGCAGAGTTATTAAAATTGTTCGTTTGATAAAAATATGTTCATAGTGTTGGAATTCAGATTAGTCGACTTTGCTGGTTAGGACACGTATTGCGCATGCCCAGCTGTCGTCTACCGCACCGCGCCCTATTGGCAGTTGCGGCTCCAGGTGGAAGCGAGGCATGAAGAAATGCACAGAGCGATTAGGTAGAATCAGTGTTTCCCGTCTTCCGGGTTGGGGTCCGAAAGACTCTACAACTGGTTGGCTGGAGACATTAAAGGATACGGCGACTAACCGACAACAGTGGCGTTCTTGTTGTCATTTCTTATCAGGTCAGAATGCTTGAAAAGGTATACATGAACACTTAGATTGTGTACTCTGTGTGTTGACCAGAGAAGTTCTTTTTCTTTGCCTCTCTCCAATTAGGCCCTATCCTTTTCCATCTTGTGCTTTATCATTTGATTTGTGTACATTGTGAGCTTGGCAGCGATCATTGTATCTCGCTGTACAATGATGATGATGATGAATTTTTGGAATGAAAATTTTCTCGGAACTTTGGTAAAACAAATGGTTAACGGTCAAAATATGAGTTATTTTTA